GTGAAGGTGTAAGAAAGCCTGGCTGCAAAGGTGCTTCTCCAGTTTCTCTCAGTTAAGGACTCTGCCAGCTGGATCCTGCTGCTTTCTTCAGGGATCAGCAGAAGGAATAATATTTACCCAGGCTAGGACCCAGCAGTTTCCCTCTGGCTCAGGGACACTTTGCAGTCACTGGATTATGGACTCGTGTGTGTGATCTGGGAGTGAGAACTGAGCACAGCAGGGTATAATGAACTTCCCAGAACCAGCTGATTAAAAAGGGAGTTGGAAGGATTCGGGTCTGCACATCCCTCAGACTCGTAGTGCTCATCAGAGGAGCCCTTGCTTTCCTACTGAGGCAATCTCAGTAAGGCTCAAATGCCACAAAATCAGGATTTTTGCACCTTATTAAGGAACAATTGTATGAGAAATTTTTTTTTAATTTCAATTATATGATAATTTAAATCAATTATATGAGAAATGTTTAATGACTTATATTTTCAGAAAACCGTCACTATTTTCTCACATCCACGGCGCCATCCAAGCAAAGCCTTACAAAACCTGCTGTCACTACCCCATCATCCCCCCAGGGACCACAGCAGCACCCCAAATTGAGATTAACCTGGCAGCCAGTGTGCTGCAGTGGGAAAATGAGCGTAGGTATAAACATCACCCATCCTGGCCTTCAGGAATCATGTGAGACATCTGGCAGTGCTGGCCTGGCTAATGCCACAAACACTTCCCTTCCCTCTGGAGTGGGACTGGGGCAGCACTGGAGGGCCTGGGGCTCCTCATCAACAACAAAATGTTTCCTTCCAAAATGTGAGGGGAAAAATAAAAATAAAAATCAAAGGTTCATCTGTTTGGTTCAGACCTTGAAGATCATCCAACCATCCGATGTGCAGAAGCAGCCCTTACTCCCAGAGCTACCCTCGGGGTGAAACCTTTAGGTTGTCCTTCTTGTTTGATGCTGAACTGACTGTTCCCATAATTCTCAGAGGTTTTGTACTGCAGCTGCAGGAAACCTGCAAGAGTTGGGGTTATTTTTGCTGTCTCATTCCATCCAAGGCCATTCCCCCTCCTGGTTTTCTTGTGCCCATGGAAACACTTCATAAAATACCATCCCATGGAAACCAGCTGATTGCCAGTGCTGCCCAAGAGCCACCAGGAATCACAAAAGCCAATGAAAGGGATTCACATTCCCTCTCTGCTACCTTTAAACCAGCTTTTAAAAGAAAAGGGGCCAAATTGGAAACGAGCAGCAGCAATTCCAACCGGGGTGAAGCCAATCCAATCACACTGGGAGGAACAGGCCTCCCTTGGATGTCAATTCCTTCTGCACAGGGGAAGCAGAAGGTGAAGCAGAATTATCATTAGTTTTCATTCATCTTAGTGGGCACTGAGATATGGGGTTGTTTTTCTTGTTCTCTGGAGGAACCCACAATGTAAGTCACAAACAGGAACATGGTGAAAGCTTGGGACAGTCTAAGCTACACTGCAGGACACTTGTTTTACAAAGGAAATCCTAAAGCACCCTAAACATGTTTTCAGGAGGGTTAGTAGAGAATATTTGCCATTCTGGACTTTTTCAAAGTACAACTTAACACTACAAAAGAATAACCTCTGTGGTAATGATGGAATTCACTCCCCGAGTTTTCACTCTGCTATTCAAGACTTGCTCCCAAAAAAAAGGGAATATTTTCCAGGTACTTTATATCCTGAATGTTTACCAAAAGCAGTCAGATGATGAATTACATATTTTTGTGTGTCTGTATGATAAACCATTTGTAAAGGTAATGCTGTGTGAATATTAATAAAAATGCAGTGAGCTGGTATTGTTTCTCAGGCTATATTGATCATATTAATGAGAATGGTAATGTATGTATGTTTATTATGATTAACAGAGCTCTGTTCATGTTGCATTTTCCATTGGAATGAAATTAACTTTCTGTTTCTAAAGTTGCTGAAGATGAATATTAAATACAGAGAAATGATTGGTGAATAAGCTCTTCAAAACCCTCTTCACGCCTATATCAAATTTAGTACACTTGTTATAAATTAATCTTGAAAACTAGAAGTTATTGGCAATTGTGGATGGAAAAACCCAAAGGGGGAAGAACCTGATCTAAGTAACAAGAAGTACAATGAAGAAATTTCCACTTAAAAACGTATCTTAACAAAATAATTTACTATAAATGAGCTGCTGTGCCACTACCAGAGTAGAGAGAATCCAGCCTATAATTTCAGGGCCTATGCAAAGAGAAAACATAGCTGCAGGAATGAGACAAATTCTGTTTACACCAGAGTTTAAACACAGGTGGTTTTAGTTTGTGTTTTGTTTTGTTTTGTTTTGTTTTGTTTTGTTTTGTTTTGTTTTGCTTTGTTTTGTTTTGTTTGGTTTTGCTTTGCTTTGCTTTGTTTTGTTTTGTTTTCTTTTTCTGTCTCCCATTTCTTTTCTGGGAGCAGTTCAAAGAATTGTATTTCTTCATTGCCTTAGGACTTGCTCCTGCAAATGGTAAAAAGGGTAGAAAAGGAAAAAGATTCTTTCTAAGATCTTCAGTGAAGCTCACATTCCTGGTCCAGCTGAAGATGTCCCTGCTCATTTCAGGAGGTTGGATCTTCCAACTTCCCTTCCAAGCCATACTATTTGATTATTTTCTCCAAACAAAATTAAGGGCCTTCTCTGAATAAATCTTGTCCAAGAAAGGTGATTTGACAAGATAAAACCATGAAATAGAGACCTGTCCTGAAGGTGCAGAGCCCAAAACCTTTTCAGGACACACCATCAGGCCCCAGTGCCAGCACTCAAGTGGCAAATCTGGAATTACTGAAGCAGAGATGATTAAGCAATACCAGAGAATGAAAGAGCAGAGGATTAAGGAATTGATAAAGGATGATAGAATGGAGGTTTCCATGCAAATGGAACTTTATTTTTTCAGCACAAACAAGTTTGTGTAATCGATCACCAAAGATTGTCCATCCAAACCTAAATGGGCAGTGACAGGTTTGTGCAGGGTATTGGATTCCTGTCTGCTCACTGAAGATATTCCCACCATACCTCCACTGTTCTGTATGAATATTATTAGACCTTGAATTTGGTGCAAAGAACAGGGAATTTCACAGCCTATTCTGGGCACTGCAATTCTCATCATGAAGTTATTAGTAAGAAGGAATGAACAGTAATTGTGAGGGAACAACAAGGTTATAATCATAACTTGTTCCAAATTATACTCCTGTGATCTCCCTTTTGCTCTGACTGGGAGCTGCTTTTTAACTTGGGAAATTTTCAATATTAAAGCCAAGAAGGAAATTACTGGGCATCTCTTTGAACAGTAAACTTCCTAGAAATGCAGAGATTGTCATAATCAGCAGGTTCACGGGCTTCAAAGTGCTGTGTTCACCTGACAGTTCTTTCAATCATTTTTTAGTAAAATACATCTGTAGCCATCAAGGCATTGTGTAATCCCCCCACACACCTGTAAATTATAATGTGGGATGTCATGATTTATTTCATAGCATAAAAGCTGTTAAATGAATACTGACAGCACCATTAGCATCCTGATCTTGAACTGAAGTGCAAGTCAGCTCTGCTTAAGTCATCATTCTCAGGAGCCACAAATAAATGTGCACTCAAAAAAGGTGCCATGGGTTAATCAGAGCTGAATTAGTCAGGAAAAATCAGTGAAGAAGGGAGCAGGTCAGGAAATGACAGCATGAAGCTTTTATTCCAATACTGGTTCTTGAAGCAGCCAATACCAAAGACCCCAGAACACAGAAACATGGGCTGAAAACTTGATTAATTCAGAATTAACTGAGAAATATTGATATTGCTTCAGCATCTTGTGCTCTGAGTGCTCCCACCCACACCTCTTGCCTTATTCCCTCTCTTGGGAAGCAGAACCCAAATGGGCTCCACTCCCTGGACTCCTCTTTGCCTTCTGCCTTCCAGCAAGAGTTCTGGTGAAAAGCAAAGCAGAGAGAACCAAATGAACTCAGCTCAGAGTTAATTTATCCCACCAAGAATCACCAATTACTGTTGCTCTGCCCTAAATCCCAGATTCCTTGATATCAGCTCCTAGGAAAGAAAATGGCTCCTTGTGCTTGCACTGAAATAAAATGTTTAATTTCTATTCTTAACCTCTTCTGAGCTAATGGAGATCTGTGACCGTTTGAAATACAAATCTACTTATTCTAAAATTCATGTTCTGTTTGTTCCCTAATGTAACACTGCCCACTTTGTTGTTCTCCTACACATTTAAACAATTTTTTTCCCCTCATGCAGATACTGTCCTTTCAGGAGGTGAAATCTGGATTCCTGTCCTTAGAGCCTTTAGAATTCTGTTGTATTATAAATATTTATCACAACTCTTTTAATACCAACAGCTGTGCTCCTTTCACGTGCAGAGCTGGTTTTATAAAGGGTGAAGCCCCCTGTACCTCTTCCCAGGTTCCACAAGATTTCAGATTGTTCCCATTTGGCCCTCCACAAACAGGACTCAACACACCTCCAGGATGAGAGTTCCTTCTTAATGAGGAATAATTGTTCTCTCTCCCAGTACAGATCTTTTCCCAGTTTAGACATTATTTCTCCCTTTACTTGCATGTTTATCCCAGTCATTTACTCCAATCTGTTTGTCCAGCTAAAGGGATCAAAGGCATTCAAACTAAAACACAAACCACTCAACCTCTCAGACTGGCAGGCTAGCTAGTTCTAGAGTCATCCCTAATAATTCACAGCTTCTGTGACAATCTCCAGATTCAAAAAGTTGCTTGAATGTGATCATTTATTAAGTTGTTCCCTTTGATGACCCCAGAACACCACAAAAAGGGGATTTGTTTTTTCCTTCAAATGAGGGTAAATGAAATTTATCTGGCTTTTTCCCCCTGTTACTTCCAAAAGGACACATCAGTCATTCCAAACTAACATGCTTAAGCTGAACAACTATTAAATAAACCCAAATCATGCTTTATTGTGTGCTGAGGTGGTTTCTCATTCTAAATGGAGTGTTTATTTTCTCATTTAGAGCTCCAAATGGGACCCTGACTGATGGAATAAAATGGCCAGTCTTCACTAGTGCTGAGCAAAAATATTTGACACTGAACACCAAAACTTCTGAGGTACTGACAAAACCACGAGCTCAGCACTGTCGATTCTGGAAACACTTTTTCCCCAAAGTGATGGAAATGACAGGTAACAATTCTTTTCTAGATGCTTTTGTACAAAACTTTCGTGCAAGGATCATTTGCTGGATGTTAACGTGATAATTGAGTTCAGATCTTCCTGTTTGCAACTGAGATGTTCATTTGGGTAGAACTGAATTGGTGTTGGATTGAGCTGTCCATGCTGTGCTGAGGGTGGACCCCAGAAGGTGCCCTGTGCTTCTGGCTTTGGGGTCACCACCCTATTTTGTGCCAGGACAAAACCTGGGGACACGCCAAGGGCCAGGACTTTGTGATGTGGAGTTTTTCTGTCCCAAAATCCTGATGCAGCCACAGTGTGAGACACTGAGTGCTGAAACCTCTGCTCTTGGGTAACCCCTGAAAGAGTTTTGGTGCCACCAGGGTTCCTGGGTGCTGGAGTGAGCAGGAAAATCAGCGCTAAAGGAGAGTTTGCACTGGGAGCTCTGGAGGCTTCAGATGTTCTGTATAAACTGTGGGACGTTACAGGATGTTATATTTGGATTATATTATCTATTATTTATGGGATTCTATTTTATGCAACCAATCCCCTGAGGATAGGAAGTGCACTGCCACTGCCAAGAGGGGATTCTGGTTTCCAGCTCACGTGAGAGCCCTGTGTTTTATTTCTGGAGTGTCACTGCTGAGAACCCAGAGCCTGCAGGATTTGCCTGTAGAAAACAGAACTGATTTGTGCCTGGCCATGTCTACAATGGATTTATGAGATTTCACTGCCAGGAAAAGTATAATTGTTTGAAACTTTAGGATCAGTTGAACAGAGAAGACCCAAGTTTTTCCAAGACCAATGGCGCTGTTTTACCAAAGCCCAGGAATAGATGAAGCCTCTGTGCTTTGGATTTCAAAAGGAATTGATTTTATAAAGTTTTTTTGCAGCTCTGGAATCACATTCTGCAGCTTGACTGAGGGAAGGTCTCGTTTCAAAAATGAGATACACTTTTAAGATGTTAATTAGTAATTTAAAATCTTTCTCTAAGACTCAGTTTGAATGCTCGTCTTAAAAAACACGTAAGCCTTAAAAATATGTAAACTGTCATGATGCACAGATGATTCCTTCTGAAATAATTTATTCCCTCCTCATTTGAGTCTGTGACTGTATTATGGCTCAACTTTTATCCCTTCTCAATTCAACAGATGTTTTTCAATTAAATCAAGAGACACGAAATCAGTAGGTAAAATGAATAATTTATGAAGCCTACTGTGTGATTTTAAAATCACAGCTTTCCCGATTACGGGTGGATTTCAGGGAGGTTTCAGAGATTCTGACAACTTTGTGCTGAGCCAGGAGAACTGAACTCTTTTACATATTCCTTTAACCTGGCTGGGAAACCCTTGGGAAAAATGTGGATCCTACAAATGGGCTGAGCTTAACTAAGCCTGCACGGAGCAGGAGGGAGCAGATCACCGGAGTCCAACACATCCTGGGGGAGAGGGGAGCTCTGCCTGGTCCTGTGGGGTGAGGAATGATGAAGCAGCACTCAGGACCTGCCAGCAGACATAAATTCATCACTGTGCCACATTCGGTAATTGGCAACATCAATTTACATAATTTAATTAAAAGAAATTCACGAGCGTATTCTTAGCAAAAAGAGAAGAATCGTCGTGTCTGGATCCAAATATAGAACTGAGGCAAGAATGTTGTCAACAAGTGGCACTGCCTTGTCTTGTATCATCTGTCAGTCCTTGAAACATTGCAGTAATAAAAACAGTATTTCCATTATGTTCCCTGTACAATATTATCCAATTCTGACAGAAAACCCTTTGAAATCCTGTGTACAAATGTGATAGAATAGCTTATATTGCAATAATTCTCCTCACTGAAATATTATTTTGCATTTTCTCTCTCCCTTTATGCCCAAAGGACAGCGCACAGCATTAATGCAGAGATTTCCTCTTGTTCTGAGGGTCTGTCCTTTCTATTACTCCTTTCATTGAAATATTCTTAGGAAAAGAAGGTTGCTTTAACATGAGGTGATATAAGATGACAGGGAACAAGTAAGGAATTTTTATGTTCTCATTGTTACAAGTTCAAGTGAGGTTCAGCTAGGCAAAGTAGAATTCTATCAGGTAGAACCCAAAGAGGATAATCAAAACAACTTATTTTGCAGAAATTATGATTTTTCAGCATCAAGTGATCAGGATTTGCCATGGATTTGCTTAGTAACCCCTTGCCTAATTCCTGACCCACTCCTAGCCCAAGCCTTGCCACCCACTGAGGGATTTTAGAGCCTTTAAAGGCCAGCTCCAAATGTGTCCTGGATCTGAACCAGCCTGTTCCCATCACAGGCTGGGTAAGACAAGTTCCCTGAGGCAGTTAAATAGATGAGAAATAGATATCTTTACTGTTAGAAAATTCACATTTTCCTCAAGCAATCATATCAGATTTTTTAAAAAAAAATTATTATGGTTGTGGGGTAGGAAAATAATAAGGAAAAAATAAGGCTCTCCCAGTAACAAAAGAGTAAGAGCCATATATAAAACATGGCTTTGATACCTCTAGACTAATTTGTGTGATTTTGGAAGGTTTGTCAAGGTATTCTCCTCGGGTCTCAATTAGAAAACCAAAGACACAAGTCAGAACCTGGATTTTTGTGTCCAGGACCAGCAGACCTGGGCTCTCAGTTCCAGGCAGACACAATTCCTGCAGGAATTTACCCCAATTTCCAAGGCCCTGAGCACATCCTGCCCAGGCCAGGACAAGCTGGGGGCACTCAGCATTTCCCCATTCCCAGAGGGGTTTCTGCTGCCTGCTGCTGCTAGGAGAACCACACTGGGGGGACAGTAAACACTAAGTGACTTTTAAGTGGCTTTTAGAGCAATCATATGTTAATTATAAAAGGATCTGGGTTAGACTTTAGCTCCTCAACACAACCTTTAATGCATCTAAAGCCCTTCCTGTTTATGTGAGCCCGTTTCCTCTTGATTGTAGAACGCTGCAGGCAGCCAAACTTTCCATTTACTCTTCCATTACTATTTTACTGTGCCTAATACATATTTTTCTATTTTATTTCATATTACTGGATCATGTATCATCTATGAAGAAATCAAGCTTGGTCATATAAATACGTTACTTTTTAAAACCACCCTATAAAGATCTTTTTTATGTGGAGGCAGAGAAATGCTCAATCTCTTGACCAATGAGCAACAAAAATTATTGTATTTGCTGTGATCCTCCAACCAGTATCTGGGTTCTACAGAGATAAATACTCAGGTGGTAAGGATATTTAAAAATTGACTAAATATAAAATTCACCATCAGAATTAAATTAAATTTCCACAGAGTTGGATACATGAAGAAATGTGAATTAATCACAGGTAACCTCACCAATACTATCACTCCTCCCAGCAAAGACTTTACTCATTGCACCTATGAACAAAAATTTCCTGTACCTAAACCATCTGATTTCTTTCCAACATTTCATTCCATGTCAAGGAAGATAACAGCCCTTGGAATAACTCATCTCCCAGAGAGCTCTGCTGATTTCTGGAACAACTAAAAAAAATAAAATAGAGGATTTTGTAGTCCTTAAAAACACATGTGAAAATGAATATACTGCTGTGTCTAACAAAGCTTTGATATCCAGAGAGTGTGATTAAAGAATATTCAGTATAGATATTATTTGTGATGTTTGTGGAGAAACTCTCACCATGAGAATCTACAGCATAAACCTGTGGCATTTATCATACTACTGAACCCAGAAACTTGAAGGTTTGCAAAAACCTGCAATCATGAAACCTGCAATCGTTGAGGACATAAAAATTAATTCTAACTTGTCATCCCTTATTAATTAACAGCTATATGGCCTTTATCCCAATCCTCAATGTGGTTTTGTGTGTTAACATTAAGATTAGCACTTTATTGGCACATCCAGCAGTTCAAAGGATGGGATGGGGATAAATTTAACTTTGCTGTAACACCACTAAAGTAAGGGAGAGATGGAATGAGAGGAAATCCCAGCTGAAGAATCAAAAAAATGCCTTTTTAAAATTTTGATCTGTTCAACTGGAGCCTTTCAGAGCACTGATTCATTGCCTGCAGAATCTCCCCTTTTCTCCTGCCCAGCCTCACTGGGCTTTGCACAGGAATTAAGGGAACGTTTGGGATTGCCCCAGTGGCTTCTAGAAAATTCCCTGTTTTCGCTGTGAGCAGGCACCCAGTGCTCTGAGCTGTAATTATTGGTCAGCTTGGACTCTCTAATCTTTTTCTTTTTTGCCTCCCAGCTGTCAGCTCATCTAAGTCATGGGTGGTTGCCTCCCGGAGATTGATGATGTTGGTGATAATGGGATGCATTGACTTGTGACTTCAATTTGGATCTTATCACTGGGGGGAAGAAAAGCAAACAAATGGGAATCCAAGTTCCTATTTCAGTGATTTCCATCCCCCTTTTGTCTTTTAGATCCATAATGGTGGCTCCTCTGAATTTTTTGATGTCTTCTTTCTCTAGCTGGCTCACTTGTTCACTATAGTCTTTAAAAAGGACTGAAAAACCCCATAATTTATACTCCAGAACAGTGACTTTTAATTAAAGATGTGTCTATGGTAGAGATGTTTCGGTGTCTTTGGGAAGACTTGAAACACCTCTTCACCTGAATAATTAAAGAAGAGAGGTTTTTGAGTTTCCTTTTTAATGCCTAAGTGGAGGTTTTGCCTGAATAAATAAAACTGGACACCCAAAATCAAGGAGAAAATGAGAAACACAGTTCAGGCAGTTTTCTCCAAATAATACTGCTACTGCTTCATACACTAAATTACCAATCCATTTGACTTAATGTGAAAAATTTGGCTTTGCCTGAGACCCTGACTACATCTTTAAATTAAATATGTGTAAAGGAGAGTTCTTAGAGTCAGGAAAGCAGAATGTTGTGCATGTTTTGTTCCCATGTTGCTGAGTTCTATCTGCATAGTTAGCAATGAAAATGAGATCTTATTGTTACCAGCACTTCCAAATCATCTCTGAGTTAATGGCAGTTGTGGCCTGCAGAAAGGAAATTTTAAAGTATCTGAACTTTCCTTTGATCTCTGTTATAACCAAGCTTATTTACAACCTTGAGCTGAGGGAGAAGGATGTGGTTAATTTATTGACTTTTTTTTTTCCATATTTGTTCTTCAAACTTTTCTTTTTGACTGCATTTAAAAGTACAGAACTTCCCGGAGAAAAAAATATCCTGGTTTTATTTCTGGTCTCACTGGAACCAAGAAGTAAATCTCATTTCAAAGTCTCATTAAATTGCCATCTGGATTTCCAGACCAGAAAGGTTTGCAAACGTTGAGCTAAACTGCAGATAAGCGACCAAATTACTGGAAGCTTCTCCAAGCTAAATCTCGGAATCAGTGAACTCTCTCCCCCGAATATTCTCTCTAGTGATGTGTAAAACACTGAACTATTTCATTTTCACATCACCAGTTACACTTGCAGTGCTGGCAGGTCGTAAAAAAGGGGGAAGGGGTGTATTTATGGAGGGAAGAAGAACAGCAGAAGAACATAAAAGCCAGAGGAGCATAAAGAACCCACGGAGCTGTTACCTCAGGAACACCATCCCCAAGTTTTTCTGGAAGCGAGCCATGCCAGTGAGGGACACCACCAGAGCTGGGTCCAGAATGAACAAAGCATTCACCGTTCATCAATGGTTTCTGAACTTTATCCTGAGCTCTGCAGCTCAAACAAAATGATGAGCATCAGTGACTGATACAGCCTGCAGGTTTTGTCCTCACTTTGGTGCTGTCTGGGATGTTCCTCTCATGGTGTTAATCACCTTTTGGGGCATCAGGAGGGGATCCCTGTCCATAAAATACTCTGGGAACCCCGTGAAATGCTGTATTTTTATGACTCTTCTCATCCTCACCCTCTGCTCCCGTGCTCATAACAAATTTGGCAATAAACATTTCCTTGGGACTCAGGATTACTTGGAAAGTGCTTTAAAGGTGGGGATGAAAAAGGAAAAGACAAGATGGTTTCATTTTGACATAGTGCACATTTGACAGTGTCCTACTCCAAACCTGTGCCCTTTATGCTTTAAATTTGGGGATTTGTTCCATGGGAGGTCAAGAACCTGGATATCCATTGAAATGTATTAAAACAATGGAAATCCTGTTGTTGCCTTAAAAAAGTTGTGATTTCACCTTATCTTTGCAAGCATCTCTCTCATTTTGCATTATTTATTCTTCAGGGTGTGTGGGTTTCAATGCAGGGTATATTTAACCAAAGGAATATTTTGAGGATAAAAAAAAAAGAAAAAAGTGACTTTAAAATGATGATTTTTATGGACAGAAGAATTATCCAAAATGCATTTAAAAATATATATATATTTAAAAAATCCAAAGTGTATTTATTACCCTGCCAGAATGATATCTTTACACTCCTCCTTTATGATGTAAAGACAAAATACTAATCACTGAATTTTCAGTCATTCCAGGTTTAAGAAAAGAAGCAAAAGACCATCCCATAATGTATTTGGAGCAGATGACATTGATAATCAAAATTATTTTTCAATTAGCATACAAAGAGATTCAAATTTAGATTAATGTAACCCATTTCATGTTTTACAGGAAATATTGATGAAGCAGAACGAGAGTGGAAAGCAGGATTCCATCGCTGGAACAATTACATGTCAGACTGGAAAAATCAATTTAATGATTACACCAGCAAGAAGGAGCTGTGCAGTCTCTAATTAATATGTTTACTCTTTCCAGTGTGTCCCTAGAACTGTTCATAAGGCAAATATCCAGGTAGCTTCACAACCTGTTGAGCATTAAATATATTATGCAGATTAAAAGGAAATATGACAGATACAACTCTGATTTCAGATCTTTCATTTATATTTTACCTCCTCTCTCAGTATGAAAATACAAGGCACCCACACCCTTTGAAGCTTCCCTGGGTTAAGTAGGACTGTAGAGATTAAAGGCTGGAGATTAATGATGTACATATTCTTATAAATACTCACTGCTTAAACTCACCCTTCAAAGAAACAATGCAATCTGTTAGGGGAAAATGGATTTTATTTGAAACAGAAACAGCAGTTTTACAGCATTGCCATGCAGAGCACAATCAGATTTAATCCTTAACTGCAACGCCACCTCACTCAAGCCTTGTTTCAGACATAATTTCATCAACATAAACATAAAGATGCAATAATTCTGCTGGACGCACCAGGCAATATTTGTTTGTTAGACCAAAAAGTTTTAAGACTGCCATAAAAGTGGGAATAAGTGCTTCTTTCTGCCCAAATATGTGGACAAAGCCATGGCAGGAGAGGATTTGAGCTGTGTATTGAAAGCCTAAATCAAGTGCTACAGTGAAATAAGCTGGAAAACCCAACACCTTCCCCACAATTCCCATTTTTCAAGGATTAAAGAATTATGGACTCACAAATAATGAATTCACATATTTCCAGCTCAGGCACCCTGGGAGAAATCCCTCCTATGGAGGCAAGCTCCAGTTACGATTTTTTTCTGTCCACTCAGCTGCCTCCTGGTTGAGGGACACCCCACATTTACAGGAACACCACGGGCAGGTTTTTACACCTGCACCAGAGCCTCAGTCCCTGTGTCAGCAAATTCCCAGCCCCAAAAACTGCCAGCAGAGTGGGGCCTGGCCAGGAATCTCCTGATGGAAGGCTGGGGAGAAGATCCTTGCAGTCGTGACCTTGGTGGGAAGGACCCAGAGGACTCTTTGCCACGGCCAGGTGAGCTCCCTGCCCTGTGAGCTGGCATCTCCCACACTCCTTTCCACCTGCTTGAGCTGAACCCATTAAAAACCTCTAAAGAAACCCATGGATAATTCTTTCTCCTTCCCTGCTTCTGGATGGGGCTGGAATTTTTTCTGCCTGAACACCACTGTAATTGGTTGCTTTTCACTGGCCCAACTGGGAAGAATAAATGCCAAGAATTTGATGAATGTAAGTAGTATGTAAGAGCAACAAGCCATCTCGTAAATAAATTATCCTGAAGCTTTCTGTAAATGCAATAGCATCTCAGTGCATCTATTTTCTGTGCTAGTGATTGCAAAATGCCTCCTTGGATTGAGCTGAAGAACTCCAGATAATGAACTGAGAGTGTTCTCTTCCTGGCAATCAGTTTGACCACACGGGCTCCCTCCAGTGAAAGGATTTATTTATACAGAAAGGCCAAATTCTGCAAGAGAGGATGGCCTATCATCTTTCCAGTTATTTCCAAGAGAACACAATTATTTCCCTGACTACTCTATGGAAAACCACCTTTTAGCACAGGATTTTCAAAGGCTGCAGTCAAACCTGCACAGACAAAAAAATCTGATCTGTTGTGAACTTTCTGATCAAAACTTGAAATTATCCGGGATTCAAAAGCCCTTTTTGTGTAGCACTACATGTTTATACCAAAGGTAATTAGCCAATTACATAGATTAGCATAGTATTTATCAAATATTCTTCAGGCTAACCATGGGATAGTGAAAATAAACACAGAAGGGTGAACTTTTTGTCCATCCCTGAGCAGTTTTGGCACTCCCCATTTTATTTCTGTGCTGTTCTTCACAGATATGTTGGGTGCTACTGTGCCCACAGTGAGCCTTGACAGCACCATCAAAGCAGCATTTATTTCTTCAGCCATCCTCTTCACTGCAATATTTCCTTATCCATCTGTCTGATCAGCCTAATAAACGGGGGGAAAAATATCTGAGCCAATTAAAATGTAAAATAACTTTTGGAAAGGTGCTGAAGGAGTTTATAAAATATTTGGTTGCAAAGGTGGTTTTTGTTTGAGTAAAACAAAGGTTAAACCACTTTTTGAAAATCAGTTTTACTGATTTTCTTGGTGTGACTTGCTAGCTTTGTATTTATTCACCTGCTGGGAAATAATATCTCCATTTATCATTCAAATGAAATCAGTACATCATGTAGTCATTCATGGCTCATATCTGCAAAAAAAAAAAACAAAACAAGGAAAGCCTGAAGTAGTTGGATGTAAGTGGTTAAGGTAGTGAAGAGTGAAAAAAGACTGTGATTGCTGAAAATGATGATTATATATTAGAGGGATATCTCACCCAGACCTTCCTGAAGATGCAATGTTGTTAATTGAAGTTTTATTTTCATTCCTGAGAGCCAAGAAACACAGGTTTCTCTGTGAAACCTGAGAAAACGTGTTGCTTCTTTCTTACCATCTTTGATCCCCAAAGCAAGAATTCTGAATTTAGTCACAGAGTCGATGAAAGATCAGAACAAGATGAACTGCAGTGCCAACAAAAACGTTGGCATTAAACCAGTTGTCATTGGGTTTATAATCTCCCAGGTTTAATGACAGATATTTCACACTTATTTTAGATGTTGGCATTGGAGAACTGTAGTCAAGATATTTCCCAGCAATCAAACCCATCATTTTTTCTTCTTTTTTAACTTTTTTTTTCACATTTTAAATGTTTTGTCTGAAGAACTTTTTGTTGGATAAGCTTTCAGTAAAGTTAAGCATTATATGTGTGAAATCCAATCTGAGCACCAAACTCAGAAGAGTTGGGATGTTCACGGTACCAGGCCTGGTCTGCAAAGCTGGACCAACCAATGCTGAAGATTTCTGGCTTTCAACAGAGTCCAAAATTGTCCTTAACACAACTTGGACCCTCCCAAAATTTCCAGGCTTCCTCCCAAGTGCAGATATTACCCTCATAACCCCCTCACAGCTTTTTACCCCTCATAGCTTGGATTTCTGGGATGGAAGTTCAGGCCTTGCCATTCCAAACCTCGGCTGTCACTCTGATGTTTTCACACTAAAAAAGGCAAATTTCTGTTGCAGTGGGAAGCTGGGGTTTGGCCTTCTTTGGTCAGTAGAGGCTCAGTGTGTTTATCCAGCAGAGATTTCTGCTCTATAAACACACGGATTTATGTACCCAGTTAAATCTTCATGAGGAGACAGCTCATCCCCACCAGCTCAGAGCTGGGAAGGTGTCATTTCAACAGAAGGAACTGAAGTATTTTGTGGGTTTTTTTAAACAGAAAAATTAGTATTTGGAGTTTTGTAGAGAAAATTAGTTTATAAAAGAATGGGCCCTTCTACTGTTCCTGTCCCAGCAGATCATTACCAAGTGGTTTGGCTTCTATAACCCACAGATACCGAATGGATTAATCCGAACATAACATGGGCAGAGGAGGGACATAAATTTGTCTCTATCAACATCACAACGTCGTCTTCAGGGGCTTGATTATGTTCTATCATTTCTCCTGGCTCAGCACCAGTTCTGCACCATCAGCAGAGCTATTTAGAGGGACATAACAAATGTCACCATGCTTGAGTTACACCTGCAGCCTGTCCAGAGTGTGGAGAGCAGCCTGGGCTGGCCCTGCCCCCTGACACTGCCACTGTCCTCCTCAGCTGGAGGGGAGACTTGCACGAGTGAGAAAATAAACATCCCCCAAAAAAACAAAGAGAGGAAAATAAATATGGAGGGGAAAAAAAGAAAGAGGAAAGGAAAAAAAATAAAAATTAGAAAATTGAACAAAACTCCCACCAAACCAAGCAAACAAAAAGGTCCCCTAAAAAAACCCAAAAAATGAACAAAAACATCCACACTCCCCACAAAAAAACACCAAAGAGGGCAATTAAAAAACAGAAAAACAAAAAACAGGAGGAAGGACAGGGGAAAAAAATGAAAGGGGAGGAAAGGGGAGGAAAGGGGAGGAAAGGGGAGGAAAGGGGAGGAAAGGGGAGGAAAGGGGAGGAAAGGAAAGGAAAGGAAAGGAAAGGAAAGGAAAGGAAAGGAAAGGAAAGGAAAGGAAAGGAAAGGAAAGGAAAGGAAAGGAAAGGAAAGGAAAGGAAAGGAAAGGAAAGGAAAGGAACAAAGAGGGTCGGGGAGCAAGTCTGGCAAAAAATGGGAGTGATAAAAAATAAGGTGTGAAAAGAACCCAAACAAATAAGGGGACAAGAATTAAAAGAAGACCTCACACAAGAGCATCTGCCCCAGAATGCTCAACCAGGGAAGGGTTTCACACCCTCCACTGAGGCACTGAGTATCCCAGTGTCTCTGTTCCAGTAACTCCAGCCAAAAATTCCTCCCCATGAACTGCCAAATAAGTTTAGGAATTTGACAGTGATTCTGAGCACGGGGTGAGGAATGAGCCGGGCAGGTCTGGCTCTCTTGGGGGCTGCTCTGGAAGATGCTGCTGCCAGCTGACTCCTTTCTCCCTGTATTTTCTCTTCCAGCCCCTGGAATTCTGGGCATTTGCCAAAGCCCCAGTGCCCTTGGCCAGGCAGAGGCTGAACCCAGCACCTGTGTAACAGATCTGTGCAGCTGGAGGTGTTTGCCATGCCTGCTCCATCTGTTCCACGTGCCACAGGTGTGCTGATTTACCCTGGCTGAACTGGGAGCAAGAAGCCTTTAGAATAAAAAAAACAAGAAGAGTTCCTGGCTGAATGACTTATTCCTCTCTTTCTCCATGCTCTGTTTTTATTTATCCTCATCTGCTGGATGAGCACCATGAAACTTCTTCTAAAAAATCTCTGGTAAAATATAGAATTTTAGACTGTTTGGATACTTTGGGATCTACAACAGGAATTTGGCAACAGGGTTAATATTTAACAGCTTGACTCTGTGAGGTGGGAGGACCACATTGTTTCTTAGGGAATATGCATCCATGCACACAGATATCTATGGAAATACAGGTTCAGCAGCATGGAGATGCAGTTTTATCTGCTGCACTTTGAAAACAGAACCCCAGTATCTTGCTTTTTTGCTGAAAAATAAAATACTCACAAAACTTTCTGATATAAATCATCACCTCAGCCAAATGAGTTACTCACAATCAAAAGTTCCAAAGCTTTTCCCTCGGATTTCAGTTGTTTCAGGTCCAACTTTTATGAACAAACATAATTAGCCATTTTGAAATGCTTGGCCAGACAAGATAATTCCTGCCTGACCCCTGCTGATTATCCTGGTTCAGCACAGGAACCTTGCAGCTCTTTGTTGATAAACCAGATCAGCTGCACTCACCCAAACTTTAACTCCTGCACTTAATGACTGCAAAGCAGTGATGTGAATCTACAATTAGTGCAGGTGCAAGGTTTGGAGAGGCTTTTAATTGGGTTGCAGGTGAGATTAACTCAGGCTTCCAGAAATGCTCCAAGTGCAGGGTGGGGAGGCTTCAGCCCAGTGATGGTTTGGATGGGTTTGGGGAGAAGCAGCAGAAAAATGTACTTTAATTCCTGCACAGGATCCGCTAAACAAAGTGAGCAGTGATAAAAGTTCCCTCCCTGACAGCTTGAGGACACTTCCAGAGCCTGTGGGTGCTGTTTTTTGGGATTTAGTGAACTTGGTCGTTACATGTATTGCTCTTTAAAAACCCTGGCATTCTTTTCAGGGATCTGGAGCTAGCCAGGAAATTATTATTGTACTAAATCACCATTGTATTGAAAATTATCCATCTATTCCTTCCAAATCCATATTTGTCTGGAAAAGAGCACCAGCTGCTGATATTTCCAACTCTGTTCCACTTTAATATGAGCCCTGGTTGCAGGAGTTAATGTTTTATCCTCTATTAACAAAACCACATGTGAAAGGTGTGAGCCTGGGAGCGCTGGGGTTAATTATTTTAATTTATGAACTATTTATAAGTCCTCAGTTAGAGTGAGAAGTGGTAAAAGTGTGTAGGTAGAGAGGAGTTCTCACCACAGCTCTCAATGTTCCCGATGAAATTCCTCCTTGCAGGATGTTTGATCACCTCATCAGCCTCTCTCCAGCACAGCCTGTGCAGCCCCTTTCCTTACAAAATAGTTACATTTCAACTGCATTTTAATACTGATCTCATTTTATCATCTCACATGTGAGAAAATTGAGGCTTTAACCCAGAAGAAGCAGCAGAAGATGTGACTGATCATTTATCCAGAATTGTTTAGAAAGTAATTCAAAGGACCTTATTCAGGACGGTGAGAACCAGCTGAAATTACACATCCAAAGGGATGCTTCTGAAATATTGAACTTTTCTCACTCACTAATTACAGGAATATAAATTTTATAGGTACTGTTAGCAGAAGTTACACCAGTCATTAAATAACCCTAACCAAGCCTCATTTCTCATGACCTAAAGCAAATATATTTAAATTATTTTATTTTTTAATTAAGAGTTATAACTGCAGAAAAAAAGAAATAGCTCCTGTTCTATTTTCAGCATATTTTTATCTAGATCTTCATCCCATTTCATCTCTCATTTTCAGTGCTACAGTGATGAGCACAGTTAGAATTTTCCCCATCTCTGCTCTTAAAAAGACCTTGACCCTGGGGCTCTCACTGCAGAATTCTGGTTGCAAAAATGATTATTACAAACCAAAATCACAATTTCATCGACAAACACTCACTACTGCCTCCATTCCATAAAACTTCTAGATCCATCTATCTCTGGGAATGACACAGCACTCCCACTTCTTGATCATTGGGTGACTTTCAGTTAATTAAAATTTTGTCATTGCCCTCAGAGGAAACACAAGAACTCCTTTGAGTGACATTTGCAATCTTCCCTATCACTTAACAATCTGGGAGGTATTTACTATTTAACAAAAAAATAAAAATAAAAATCCGCACCTCAGAATGTATTTTTTCCCCACAGGTTTCTCTTAATGATGAGCTAAATGGGAGAGTAAAGATGTGAACAAATTGTGTTTATATTCTCCTCTTTGCAGAAGAGGAAAATCCACGACAAATGCCATTTCCCTTCCATATTCCATGCTGCTGTTATTTGTGAGTAAATGGGCTCTGAAAAATGGAAGCAGAAACCAAAATTCTCCTCTGCCAATCCTTGGGAGAACTGGCAGTGTCTGCAGCCCGCCTGAGGATCCTCTCTTCACCAAGGCCCTCCACAGATTTTTGTCATTGCCCCATAAATTTAATCCATTTCCCATCCTTATCCACACTCAGAGTAGGTATGATTCCAAATATTAAGGCAAACACATCCAAAAATTCCTTTCTAGAGAGAGGTCTTGACAAGAAATCTCTGCAGGAGCTCCCAAGCCTGGGACTTGTCAGTCCAGAGGGCAAGGAGGGATCTCAGACAAAGCTCAGCCTGCAGGGGAGGGAATGAAGCTCAGAGCAGTGGAGGCTTTACCCCAACATTTCCCCCACTGCAGAATAAACTCTGAAATTCCTGTCAATTCAAGAAAAATGCCAAAATCCCTGAAAAACCCACTCTGTTATTTCTCCATTTAAAGGGAGATTTCTTGACACATATCCAACCCCTGCAGCCTGAATTCTTTGTCTTTCCCACTGGCATTGGTTACAAGCTCCTAAAAACCAGGCTGGAGTCAGAGTTCTGCAGTGAATTCATGGCATTTGACACTCATAACTCCACTGTTATAAAAACAGATCAGTGCATTAAAAACCTCCTTAATAACAGCTCTGTTATCAAAGCAGACATTGCCCAAAGCAATACAATTATTGGTCAATAATTCCTCTTGAGCTGTTTCTATTACCACCACTTTATTTCAACACTTGCCTTCTTACCCTTTGATCTGCTAATTATCTTTTTACCCTCTGATCCTCTCGACAATTCCCTGGCAATTTGATCCATTAATTACAGAGCCCACGTTCCCCATTTTCCACAGAATGTGCAGTTTTTGTGACCTTCTTCACCTTCCTTCCCACAAACACTTGCCATCTTTCTCTAGGGTATGGCTACTTCTGTAAATACACAGATAATGGTACAAAATGCTGTAATTAAAAAGTATTTTTGCATTTTTCTTGCAATCTTTTGGGCTTCATGAAAACATCTTATATAGTTTGTCATTGACTTAGATTTCAATGGAAATGAGCAGTCTGGTAAATGCTTTTGACTCCATCTTTAGTACCATAAACACTTGGATTTTTTCCCCAGTATTAAACATATTGATTGTATTTCCATACTGGAGATTCTATTAAAAACACAGTTTCTGCTATATTTTGTGTAAAATAAAATTATAATTATAAAATTATAATTATATAAGTATAATTATAAAAAAGTATTTTCTGATTTAAAGCTTTTCTCATTTTAAGAGCCTGACCGACAAATTACTAAATATTCTGCACTGCCAATTTCCTACTCCCTTCTAAGCCAGATTCAGACCTAAATAAGTTCTAGAGTGGAAGAATTTTAAGATAAACTTGAGCTTTTTACTTGTACAATCCAGAAATGATGGTGCTGTGGAAGGGGGACATTTTGGGGACTGGGGAGCAAAAGTTTGGAAGCTGGAACAGAACCTTGGTTCTGTTTGGGTTCTGCTTGGGTTTAATTAATTTCTCGTGACCAGGATATCCTGTAAGGATTCCAAAGAGTCTCTCATTCTACCAGGAAGTCTCTGACACTGTTGGGTTTCTCCTGTGTTTGTGCAAAAGGACCCTCTCATTTAAACCTCCAGTGCCTCAGTTGGTGATGTGGGGAGTTTTCTGTTAATATTTGGATTTTTAACCACAGATTTAGTTCAGAACTGAGCACTTTGTAAATCTCCATCAATAAAATGCAGCAGAACACAGGCATTGCAGTTAATTTTATTCTCTTTTTCCGTGCAAATGCTCACTTAGTCCTTTGGCCAAAGTTACCAGCTGCTTAAAGTAATGGCTTTGTGCTGTGTCCACTCAAATGAACTCAACCACTTCTCATTCCAGAGAAACCTATGCAGAGCTGCCAAAGAATGATCATTAATGCAAGATTTTTCTTTTTGACAGCTTTTCTGCCTGGAAAATGATTGATTGGGCACTTCTTGTATAAATAATCTTTGCCGTTTTTAATATAGAGAATCCATTTTAATATCTGCATCATAAAAAACAAGAAATTCTCATTTCTGTGCATCCAGTTCTTTTCAATCAGATTATTTTTATAAATATGAGGATTGGAAAAGCAAAATGCGTCTTGCAGAGGAGAGGTATCTTCAATAATCCAGAGGAAAATCTGCTAAGGAATAAAATTCTTCTTGCACAATTTCAAACCAAAATTGTGCTTATTGAATATAGTCCTGTCTAATCATATTGACTTATTCTTTCTTTTTTCCCTTTCAGACCTAGCTGGTAGCATATAATTTGCCATTTTTCACATTAGTTCTTAAATAGCTCACACTTCCTCGCATCACGAGGCACTTAACAGCTTCTCAGTAATCTGATTGTTCAATTGTCTGAAGATTTCAGACACAGAAAAGCCAAGTACAGGATCAGCCTGAAATACTTTGAAATACAGGAGGCCATTCCAGCGCAGCTGAAGCAAGTAATGGAGAATTTGTAAAATAAAACACAAAGGAATGAGTTGTGGCTGGCAATAAAGACGCGAGCAGCTCCGAGGGTGTTTCTGTTTGAGTTATGGAGCTCCTCAGGAGCTGTTTGGGGATCAGGGCTGGGCTGCTTGGCTTCCCTTTATGGTCCCCCAGCCGGGTGTCTCAGTGCTCCTGGGTCCTGCAGTGCTTCAGAGCC